GCTTGTGGGGGGCTTGTTGACGGAAACGGTCAAAGAACGAGCTAAAAGAGCACTCACCACCAGAAAACTGTAAATATCTATCAGTGACAACAGTGAACAAGGAGATTTGGAACTTGCTGTCCAGGAAAACTCGCTCAGTAGATTTAGCTGTCCAGCGAGTTCAAGAACCCATATTACAGGGATTGTCAGCCTTGACAAATTTGGCAGGCAAACTGGTCAAGGATACAACCAATAGCAAGACACCAGATACTCGCCAGGTGCTCAACCAAGTAATGGATAGTGTTGCATTGTTAGGCAATACTAACTGGAAGCTAAACATGAAGCGCCGAGAGCATATAAAGCCTTATCTAAATCCCCCCTACATACGTCTGTGCAAGGAAGATATTAAACCTTCCACAAAATTGTTTGGAGATGACCTCTCAAAACATCTCAAGGATATGTCTGAGGCAAAAAAGGCAGGGCAACAAATGCAGAAGGCTCCCTAGAACCTCCATGTAAACAGGTAAGCAAATTTGGTCAAGTTGATGAATTTTCAGCTATTGTGGATACAGATTTTTTACCTCATTTGGTCTTGAATTTTCAAGCAGGTTGTGTAAAGGACCATATAGACAACTGGAGATCAGTAACTATTAACCTGGTTATTCTCGATGCCATTACGCATCATCACATTGACCTTGAAGGTGGATGTAGACCTGTTTAGGCTACTAAACCCAGACAAATTACATTTTCTTCTGGGGAAAAAGAAATTATTAGTGCTGAAATAACAAAACTCCTAAGTAAAGGGGTCATAGAATTAACTGACCCTTTAATGGAGGTTTCCTGTCCACAATTTTTGTGAGACCTAAAAAAGATGGGAGTTACAGACTAATTCTTAATCTTGACCCTCTGAATAAATTTGTCTCTTACTACCATTTTAAAATGGATACCATCCAAACTGCCCTCAAACTGATGCGACCAGGATGCTTCATGGCATCAGTCAATCTTAAAGAAGCATATTACTCAATTCCCATTGCCGCAGAGGACTGACAACTCCTTGAATTCTAAGGGAGGGAGGGAAATTATTTCCATTTTACTTGTCTCCCAAATGGGCTTGCATCTGCCCCAAGATAATCCACTAAAGTGCTTTAACCCATTTTTTACCAATCTCAGAGCTCGAGGTCATTTTTGCATGGGATATAGTTATGCAGCCTGTGAGGAAAACATTGTTCAGACAGTCAATATGTTTGTTAAGTTGGGGTTTGTCATCCCACCCCACAAAATCAGTGTTGGTACCCACACAAGAGGTCGGGTTTCTTGGGTTTCTTTTGAATAGCGTATCAATGAAAATAGAACAGGACCAAGCCACTGGTGTACTTGTAGTTTCCATTTGGCAGACTCAACCCTGGTTCACAACTCTCCTTCATCTGCTAGTGGACTATCCCCTCCGTCTTCCAAAGTCAAATCAACTACTAATGCAACCTCACAATAGTGCACTTCACCCTCTTCGGAAACAATTAAAACTGATGGTCTGCAAGCTCTCTGGAACAAGTCTCCAGCATAAACATGTTTCAGACAAAGCTGCTGAAATCATCCTCAAGTCTTGGCCAGCAGGAACACAAAAGCAGTACAAGCCGTACATCACACAATGGATTGACTTTTGTAGTAAACGGGAGAGTGATCCCTATGACCCGCCTTTAACAGCAGTTTTGGATTTTCTTAATTTATATAATATGGTCATGACGTTTTGTTCCATCTTTTACCATTGTTGAGGAGTATATTGCAAGTGGCAGAGACAAATATATTGTAGACCCCGATCCCAACCAAATCTACACCAAAAGAAACAGAAGGGAATGCTCCATCTCAATTCCAAAGTGCTCATCCAAGATTTGGAATGTTACTGGAATAAAGTACCAAACTTCTGGCTGGGGTAAAGGTCTTGAAAAATTGCCTTTGTTTACTAAGGCTGACATGAAAAAGCACATTGAAAATTCTGGCAAAAAGATGGGAAGTGTGGAACATCATTCAGTTCCCACAAGTTTGAAACCTGTGAAAACTATCCTTGAAGATGAATATTTGAAGGATATTGAAACAAATGAAGATGAACATTGCTTCTATTTTAAATGTAGATGTTATCACAGCTATAAGAACCATGAAACTCCTTATACGATAGAAGTTGCTCTTTGCATTATATCAGGAAATGTGATGGATGCCACCTGTATATGTGCTGTGGGTAAAGTTGGCTATTGTAACCATACATTGGCACTCATGTTGAAAATTTGCAAATACTCCTTGTTTGAGAGCAAAACAACTGAAGATCTAAATGATGAATCAGATGAAAATCCAGCTCTCGCATGTACATCAAAGTTACAACGCCGACACAAGAGAGGTCAAAGGTGATTCAATTCATCCCCAGCCAGCGATGGACTTAATTGTCACAAAAATTAGGCCTGATGATAAGAAAACTGACAAAGCTGTCTGCTGTCAACTTTATGAGGCCTGCAAAATAACAAAGCATGATTTAATAGTTGAAGAGAGGTTTAAAAAGTCCATTGCAGCTATCAAACCTAAAATGGGAATTGCTACACTTGCCTCAAACACACCCAGTGAAATAGTGCAAACCAAATTTGGTAGCAGCCTGGTTGGGTCTACAAACAGTTATCAGTTATCATATACTGAGTCCAACTTTCCTGTGTATGTTAATAAAAGTTCCATTCCAAGATGTCCTGATTCAAATTTGAACATAGACAGCTACCCAAGATTTCCCCTTAAAAATGCTGAGCATTGATTATACCCAGACAATCTTACTAGTGAGGAAAGAACATTTTTATCTTCAGTTAAAGTTGATGAGGATGAACTCAACAAAATTGAACAGGAAACAAGGGAACAGGTGAACAGTTAAAGATGGAAGGAAGAAAGAAAGTTCAGGTTCACAACCTCAAGGGTCCATTTGATTTCCAGCAGGCAAAGAAATCATGATAATTTTGCTTAAGAATGATGCATCCAAAGAGGTTTGTAAGTAGACGTAAAGCACATGGAAGAAAATATGAAGGAGCGGCAATTCTTGAGTATCAAAACCTTATGAAAGTAAGCAAAACACCAGTAGTAGTGCTAAAGTGTGGACTTGTGGTTTCAAAAGAAATTCCAGTCTTTGCAGCTACTCCCAATGGGAAAGTTATTGATTTTGTTTGTAGTCACCCATTTGGTATTTTAGAAGTTAAGTTCCCATCAACAAAATCTGCTGTTACCCCACTTGATGCTTGTGCTGATCCCAAATTTTTTTGTCAGCAAGTGGGTGACCACTGTTGTTTAAAAACTGATCATGAGTACTATGCTCAAGTACAAGACCAAATGGCAGTGACTGGTGCTTCTTGGTGTGACTTTGCTGTGTATACATTTAAAGGAATGTCAATTCAAAGAATTTCATTTGATCAGGAATTCTGGGATAACATTACTCAAAGACTCAAGTTATATTATTTCCAACATTTTCTAGCCTTTGCTATACAAGAATACAAAACCTAGGATAATGATCAAAGGCCAACAAGATTGTAATCCCTAATAGTGGACTGTTCAACTTTCTTTAAGTTACAGTAACTGTTATTAATGTACAGTAGTGTTTACTTTTTATAGCTTGTCAATGCCTTTTCCAGGCGAACTGTAGCATATTTACTTTCTTGCAACTAAGGGTAGTTTAAAATATTGCTAAGGGGGGATGTTAAGAGACACACCAACTGGTGAAAGATCTTGAATGATGACACCTCTTTCAGCCACAATTGAGTCATTGGCTAGAAAAGGAAGGTCTAAGAATCCCCTTCTCTCAGTTATTTCTCAGTCAGATATACTGCCAGTATAGAGCTGACTCATAAATGAAATATGTCCAGCAGGGGAAATGGCAATCAACCCTCTAAGTGTTGTGTGGTTCTTGTAGCTGCTGAAGAGTCTACTGTTTAACGGTAAACTACTCGACATCTGACACTTGATCTCAGCACAATCTATTGTAGCCCTCTGGTATTAGGATATTTGTTTTTTAAGTCTTGAGGCATGTTATCATCCACTACTTTTTGGGATGGCCAGATGTTCAACTCCAAACCTCAGATACATAAAGTTAACCCAGGAAATTATGATCCTGCTGACAGTAGATTGAGATATGTTGTACAAATGTCCCAGATGACGTTCTGCAAATCCCTGCCTTAATGTACACATGACTAGGAAGAATTCCTCCTTAGAGTTCAGTTTTCTAGGCCTGCCTAAAGCTGGTCCAGCACGAGGTTGAGTATCTGTTTCATAATATTCAGGGTCAACATCACTGCTAGCAGAACTCCAAAATCGGATGTTCTCCCCATTTTCTCCCAGATTTAAGTACGTGTATGTCACCATGAAAACTTTATATGAAGGAAAGCCGGTATAAAATACAATGTATTCATTATTCATTGTTGGGGGGGGGGGNGAAAACAAATGACATCATCGAAAAGCAAGTGCACACAAGACAGTTTAGTTTTTGGTTGTGATTCTGGACTGTTCAGTCAACAATAACGTGGCCTGTTTCGTTGGGATGCCAGATCGCGTGCTACATAACTGGGACAATTAATGTTACCGAACATAACTTTTGAATCGCGTTGGCTTGGAGATGTTTACTGTGGAAACAGCTTTATTTCATTGGCTACATTTGTCCTGGGATTTGTTGACTAGCTCCAGTGGAGACAAATAGTTCAGTTAGCCTTGGCTCTTACACAGATGCTCCCCCCCCCCCCCCATGAAAAGTTCAGTCTGTATCCAGTTGAAATTGTTCCCAAAAGTACTCTAAAGCCATAAGAGTAAGCCTGGACCAAGGAACGGCAATAGAAATGTTGTCTACTTGTTGTCGCTGGTTGCACAGAGTTTGTTTACGATAAATCAGCTCCAATTGAAAATGTCAGCTAATATTAGTGCTTCCAGCTGAGAAAACTGTATGTAAATTATACTTTTAGAAATTAGCTTTTGTGCCTAAACATGACCAGTTAATTTAAAAATGTTTAGCATGTTTAAACCTGCGAGTCTACGGAAACTGCACCGTCACGCAACGTATCAAGAAATCATGGTTTATCAGTCAAGAAGGCCTCAACTTGCCAACCACAAATACACAGAAAATACTGGGCTTTGTCATTATTATGCTTGTTAAAAAGGGACAAAACAGCAAGATCATTATTTATATGACAAGACAGTGATATATACATCAAGATTTGTGTATATACATCAAGATCCATATATATATACATTAAGATTTGCATATGTACATCAAGATTCGTGTATATACATCAAGATTCGTATATATACATCAAGATTCATATATACATCAAGATTTGCATATATACATCAAGATTCGACAGCTATTAATCAAGCATTGTATATGTACAGGAACATTAAAATTCGTGTATGTACATTAAGATTTGTGCATATTCATCAAAATCCGGGCATACAATGAAGATCTCTAGATACATTAAGATTTTTGTATATATTAAGATTCGTGCACTTCGGACATAAGGGAAAGCGTAACCGCTGGACCGATTATCGTGTGTTCAAACGGCGACCGAAAAATGGCGGCAAACATGGCGAATTCGTCGCTGCCCAACGAGGAAGACATCTCCTCCTTGGTTCACCGTGTTTACAGAGCCATGACAGAAGAAGTGCCTCGTGAAAGGTCACGAGTCAGTGGAGGTAACTCCAGCAATGTTGAAGAAGAGTTGTCGAGAAATTTTCGAATTCCCCGTGTTGGCGTACAGCAGCCTCCGTTGTACAATCCACGAGTGAATTATGGAAGCAATGGTAATAGTGGAAAGAAGGGGAAATTAAGATCAAGTTCCTGGAAAGGAAAGTCAGCGAAAGAAAGTCCGCACAGTATCTCTTGTAAAGAATTAGTGCTGTTGCCAGCTCCTAATGTTGATGAAGTTCCACGCTTTGGCAAAAAACGAAAGCTTCAGGAAATGGGCCTAATAGTAGATGGCTTCCCCCTTGACAAGAACTGGGACGAGAGCCAACTGAAGCTTAAGGTACCTTTCATCACTGCCATTTTCGTTTTATTTATGCTGTAATTCTACTCCTCTCTTGTGCACCCCTCGCCCTGCCCCCCCCCCTCCCCCTGCCTTCATTGAAACACGAAGCATTTTTTTCAAAATAATTCATTCACCTTGAAACTTTGAATATCTTAAAACAAGAGAAAGTATCATGTGATATGGTACTATGGGATTAATTGGTAGCTGCTTAGACTGACTAATACAGTGGACTAGGAGGACATAGTGATGGTGTTCTTCCCATTGGCGGCAGGGGTCGGGGGGCGGCTGGGTACCTCTGTTCAGAAAAAAAAATCATATCTGGTACACCATTTAATGCTTATTATTCATGCTAATGGTATCTAGTAGTGATGGGTTAGTTGTTGATTTTTTGTTTTGTTTTTGTTTTGATCAGGTTGGGGGTGCTCTGGTTGATGTCTTACGGGATGAAGAGGGAGGTGTTATCCCATTTGAATTTGTGAAAAGTATTGGAAAAAGTATATGCCCTCTCAATCTATTTAGTGATAAGGAGCTTACAGGTGCCACACTAGCTGGATTATGTCGACAGGGCCCAATATATGTAAGAGCAACAAAGCAACTAAGATTCTGGCCAACGGAGGATGCGAGTGATGATGATGAAGACAATGAAGAGTTCAAGAGAAGGCCAGAACAGGTTCCTGAGAAAAGTGCCAGAGGTACATGTATCTGTTCCTAATATTATTTAACTGATTGTATAATTATGTACATTGTATGCCATGAAGACTGACAGCAGCAGTTGTGAGTAAGGCTCAGTCATGGAGCATTTTTTGCCATGGACTGTCAATGACTGGAAATTAAACATTAGTGGATAAATCACTTGTCTGTCTTTATACAGGGAATAAATCTGTAATGCTGTGATTGAGAAACATTGCACCTGCAAATGTCATCAAAAAAGACACTTCAACAAACTAGTCAAACTAATCCTACTTTGTTGTTCTAAATGTAAGGGAGAATCCAAGTTGGAAACAGCAGCTCACAGTCAAATTGTATACCAAACAACTTGCCAAGGGGTAGCACTCTTGAAGAAGCTATAAATTTACCAGGCCCAAGTGGTGCTCAAGATGTAAACAATCAATTTGAGGAAGCTGACTGCCTTCCACCCAAGGACTGCATTGGGATTGAACCTTCTTGTAGTAATTTTCTGGAAATTGACACCTTGCATGACTCAGACATTCATGAAGTTGAAGATATAACAAACAATGACCAAGCAACAGGTACTAACATTACCAATAGTACATGAAATATACATTATGCCTCTAATACAATACCACTTATCGAATATATTACATTTTGAAGGGACATGAAATTGTCTTGATTCTGTTTTCTGACATTTCACACACCAGGGGTTACAAAAAATTGATTCAATCAATGCCGGTTTTTATGTGAAGAAATTCATACATGTTCTTACATTAGGAGCTATTTAGCCAGGTCATTTGTGATCAGGGCAAAGATTGGTGACTTATTTTGATGACACTGCATTGAAATGTTTAAGTATATAGATGAGAGCCTGTTTTATCACAAGTAACCAGCAATTTTGGGGAACTTGAACTGTGGCATTTGTATAACAATTACCAGAATTGGGTGAATGTGCTTCCATATCAGTGTAAAGTAAACCCTTAAACTGTCCCAACAATAGGCTTCTTATCTTATGGTGATTGTAATGAAATGCTTTATCCACTTTTTTCAAGCATGTGTCAGTCGTTTAAGGGAAATGTTCCCAGATATGTCATCAGAGTACCTCAAGAAAAAACTAGAAGAGAATGGTGATGATTTGGACCTGGCAGTGTCAGATATTCTTAAAGCATGGGACTGTAAGTAAAGAAATTTGAAGTGCCACTCTTAATTCATGCTTATTTAATTTATTTTAATTTATGATATTTATTAATTGTCTATAGTAACCTCCTAAATCCTGAACATTTTAGGTTTTCCAGTCTTGTATTGCAATACAACAAAGAGGCTTAACTCAGTGAATCTACAGATTGCCAGGCACACTTTCAAAAATGTTGACCCTTCAAAAGATTTATATAAAAATATATATCTTTTGTTTTCTTTTGTTTTTCTTAATGCATGTTACATGAATACAAAAGATATATAGTTTGCAAAGGTCAACCTTCCTGAAAACGAGTGTATGGTTCAGGTAGTTATGTGGGTTTTGATAAGACAAACACAGCAAACCTCTTCTATAGTTGCTTAATACAAAAAGTTGTTTTCAATAAATGAAATGTATTATTGGAAAAAAACTTATTGCATTAAGTTTAATAAGTTCACTGAATTTTAATAAACTTAGAAACGATTCAAATAAATTTGTTACGATAAGTTTTGCAATTATGCATTTACACAGATACATCTAGTGTGACATTGGAGAGCCTTCTTGAACAGCTTGGTACAAAAGTGAAAGGTGATGTATTCAAAATCAAAGTTGATCCTGACGATATCCTTGGTGATGCATTGGCCATTTACAAAGATCCTGAGTTTGACCCTGCTTCGCCAGTAAGAGTAACTTACAGAGGACAACCCGCTGTTGATCTTGGGGGCGTTAAACGTCAGTTTTTTACTGATGTCCTTGGTGAAATGGCATCCTCGACACACCTTGCCTTTCTAGAGGGTCCTGATTTACGAAGATTGCCTGCCTACAACAGTGGTGTTATCTCAAGTGGACTGATGAAACTATTTGGCAGTGCAGTAGCTCATGGCATTGTTCATGCTAAAGTTGGGATTCCTTTTCTGTCACAAGCTTTCTACTGGTACATTGCCACAGCTGATGTGAATAAAGCCATTCCCTATGCATCACCCGCTGATATTTGTGACCAAGATATCAGGCATTATGTTGATGCAGTAAGTTAATTTCATGTGTGTACTTTTGAATGGATACATGTATTCTTACCATAACTCGACAGATAAATGTCATCTGAAAAAGTCTGGGTTTACCTTGTATGCATATGTCTTGCACCTTTTATTAATTAATGCATTCAATTCACTCTAATTGAAAATTACTGTAATGAATATTCTGCTTGTGCACTGAAAAGCGGTTAGTATTTTTAAAAACTCTTATGGATCTTCATACCGTGGATTTTTTAGGGTTAGTCCTGGCGCTCTTACTCCTAACTAAAGAGAAGAAAGAAATGCTGATTGTGATAATAATGGTGTTTGGGGGTACATTTCTATTTTTTTGTTGTTTCTTTAGGTTTTGTCATTGACTGATAAGGATGACCTGTTGGGGTTGAATGAAGATGACAAGTTCATTGAAATTTTGAGTGCAAGTGGTGTTACCTCACATCTTTCAGTGAGTCTATTTACAACTTCATTACTACAACCACTCCTCTCGGTAGAGTTCCACACCTTATGTGGAGTTAGTTGCCAAGTGAGAAGAGTGATCACTCTAACTTACATTAACACTTTTTACTGAAAGATGTAAGGGCTTGATTGCCAGTTCTGAAGTTTAAATGCAGACAGGGATGAGTTTTTAATTTTTACTTAATGACAAAATTGAGCCATCGCAAGAATGATAACATAAAAATAGCCATCAGTCAATACTTTTTAAAACATAGTGGATAAAAGAAATTATCACTTTTCGCTTTGCTGTTTACTACGGCTTGTAAGAAATTACGTCACTTTCTGATACCATGGTTATGTCAAATAAAACAAACTGCATATTTTGAAGTAGTTTGTAATTCTTTGCATACAAACTAAAGTGTATTTTTTGCAGGTTCAAAACAGAATGAACATTGTGCAAGCAATTATGCTTCACTATGTCTTGAACACAAGAAAGGTCTGTATGGATCAATTCCGGGAGGGCCTTAGAACCCTAGATGTCTTACAAAGCATTGAAAAGCACCCAAGTGTTTGGGAGCCATTGTTTGTGCATAGGGATAGCTCAATGACAACTGAGGAGTTCAAGTCAGTGTTGAAGCCACCAATCTCCATGAATGAACGTCAGCAAGTTATCTGGGAATATCTTCTTCGCTTTGTGGACTCTTGTTCACTTCATGGTAACTTTCTTGCACATATTGCACATACCAAACTGTAAAAATGAGCTATAATTTAACATGCAGGTCACAAAAAAAACTAAACATGGTTTCTATCTTTAAATGTCTTGATAGAATGTTTGACTTTGTAATACTTTATAAAATCATTTTCCAAAGGCATTAGTGTAGGATTTGCTTACAAATTATGTGTGTAAGTCTCCAAACTACATATTGAATTACTTGTTATATCCAAGGTAAGGTAAGGAAACCTTATTATTTTAGAGTCATAAACGTAAGGAGTGGTTGCCCAATCTCCTGACTGTTTACACTAACATTTTTACTTACAAAATTCGCAAAGATAAATCCAGAATTAAAATATAAAATATTCCTAAAAACGTCTAATTCTCGTATTAAGTATTTCAATTAGACAAAGTATATACAGTTCACACACTGGCACCCTGCAAACTCCACACTGTTCAAACGAGAATGAAACTGTGCTAAAGTGGTTGAGGATTACATCTGCATGCCCCTATGCTACTGTAATTTGTGCAGTCTTTATGAAAATGAGTGAGCAATGCATGGTGATAAAGAAAAAATGATTGAAAGGCATGTGACAGTAGGGCCCTAAGCGACCCCTGATCTAATATTGAAATTCCCTCTTTGATTTACAAGCATATCCAGTGCAAATTGGAAAGAGAATCCAACAATTATCAGAAGTCGCTTGGGCTTTATTCCAGGCACCCATTCAATGTGCATGAGAAATCTTTCTTGACATCACCTGAAATTTTGCCTTTCAGATTTAAAGAAACTGACCAAGTTCCTAACAGGAAGTGAAAACCTGAGTTCATCTGGAGCAAAAGTAAAGGGGATCACTGTTAGTTTTGATGGGGAAGCTGGTGTATTTTCATCTACTTGCACCTTAAAATGTGAATTGCCACCTGATTTTCCAGATTACGAGAGTTTCACTGAAGTAATGTTAGCAGTGATAAATGATATGCACCGTTCATCCTTTACTGTGGTTTAATACTACATCCAATGTGATTTTGTTATCAAATCAGTCTTGACCTGTAGACCCCTGTCTACTATGGGGCCCATGTTTTAAAAAGGAAAATTTGTAATTCAGGTTACAGTTAGAAGAAAAAAAACTTTCAAATGTTCTGCATGAAGAGCTTTAGATTTTGCATCCACGTTTTGTTTTCACTTGTTGGAAATGTTCATGTTATGTAATGGATCAGAGTGGTGGTGTCTCTTGATAACCATACTGGTTGTAACAGTATAAGTATAAGTAACAGTATAAGTTTTAAGTTATAAGTTCCAAGTTATCATTGAACAAACTTTAAATGAAAAAAAGAATACTCATCCTAGATTAAAGTTAGTTTGTCTGCGTAGTGCTGGTTTCAACTAAAACAAAAGTTTTTTTTTTCTGGTTTTTGCTCATTGCTTCTTTGCTAATAACAGCATCCTTAACCCAAGCTCTCTAGAAAGTCAACAACAGTTAAATACTTGTAAATGCCATGCGCGTCATCGCTGATGGTTTCCAGAAGCCTTTCCAAATCAGTACTTTGCTCATCTGATAGTAGTATTGAGCATTCAGGAACAGAAACTTCATTGCAGGTTTGCAGTGCTGGAGAAGGCCCATCATCATCAATGCCATAGTCACTGAAGTCTGATTGCACGTCTTCCAGTACTTCAGTGACAGCAACTAGGTCAGTATTACTGTTTGAGAGCATGCCTTCAATCCACAGTTGCCTGGGGGTTGTGTTACTTGCAGTTGTGAGACCATGGAAATTCCATTCCTGTGTCAATTGGTGTAAGGAATCGTTAACCATGGGAAGGTATATAAATTGTAGGGAAAACAAGTGGATTTCATTGGTGGGTTCAAAAAATCCATGCCTTTCAAGATACATGAAAATGTTCTTGTACTTGCTTACAACCACGCGGTTGACTTCTCTCCATAATCTCTCGATTCTTTGGTTATGCACTGACTTTCCTGTAATAATACTACCTCGGTTCAAGCCACGTTCTTGTAGCATGTACCTTGCTACATCAATATTTTCAAGGCCTTGGTCAGACCGAACACGCGAGGGTAAAGAATACTGTGCCACAGCCTGTCGAAAAAGTTCAAGTACAGTAGAAGCCTTGTTGTTTGTTGATGCCCGTAGGTAAACTATAAGCCGCGAAAAGCCATCGATCCCACCATGTATGACGATCCTATATGGCTCAATTAGCTTGTGATCACCATCTATATGCCACAGGGCATTTGGACATGGTACGGAGTATTTTCTTCTTACAATTCTAAAACTGTGTTGCCTGATGGCAGACATTATAGGATTCACTCGTGCAATGGAGTCTCGCACTCGAGTTATCTGAATTTTCAATCCCCTTGCCCTCAGCCCTCCTTCAACAAGATGTCTGCCAGCATCAGGAGTGTTTTCTAAAATATCCCTTACATGCTCATCCAAATCTTCGTCTTCGATATTTGAGAAAGCATCTTGACCAATAGGCATTTCAAACTCCTTTCTGCGTCGAATAAGTGTCTTAGAAGAAATGTTGAGCATTCTTGCTATGTCTACCCACTTGAAAGATTCATTTCGCAGACGAGTTACAAGATCCCTGTCTACGAGATATCGCGGCCGACATGCTCGGCTTGTATGTTCTACAGGGCAAGGGCGGTCAAGCGGTGAATTTCCTACCTCATCCGCATTTGCCTGATAAAACAGATTCCTGGAATGATAATTTTCCTGAAGCATGTGTACGGCATTTCTAAGCCCTTGTAAGTCCTGAAGTACACGGTCTGAACCAGCCGTACACGCTCTAAAACGACTTGACATTAAATCAAGAGTAGGCACAAAATCACCAAGGCGGGATTCAAAACTATCTGCTCGATTTGGCTTGTATTCACAGTTTAATCCTTCAATGGCTTCATGAACTGTGCGTAGCAAGGATTCAAAAAACTGCTCAAGATTTGGCACAACATCGGCCATGTTGAAACTGGGTTGAGGTCTGGGAATGAGAACATCTGCGCTATTGTTTGGCCAGCGGTTACCATGGATCACGAAATAGCACCATGTGTACTCATCACGAATCTTGATGTATATATATGAATCTTAATGTATATACACGAATCTTGATGTATATATGCAAATCTTGATGTATATATGAATCTTGATGTATTTACACGAATCTTGATGTATATACATGAATCTTGATTTATATACACGGATCTTGATGTATATGTATGAATCTTGATATATGTATATCACTGTCTTGTCATATAGATAGTGATCTTGTTGTTTTGTCCCTTTTTAACAAGCATACATTATGTTATATCTGTCCATAACACTGCAGTTGTTGATGTAAATATGCTGATTTTAACAATGGACGGGAGTTGAAAGTAATGAAATCAATCAAGAGTAAATTTTCTTCTGACAGTTGCAGACTGCACAGCACGACATGCACAATGTTTACTAGAATTCATTTTCCACAGAAATTGTCGGGATTTTCAGCTGATCGAAGGAATTTCAATGTGACATAATTCAAATATGCAATTGCAGAAAGTTCTGTCCAGGAACTGGAACTTTGTATGATTGTTGCATGATTGATTGATTGTTCCTTGTTCATCTGAGAATTTCGTGCATATACAGAAAGCGAATGTTTACCCACCTTATAATAAATGGGGCATCAAAAATAAATATGGCAGTGAATGTCTGAAAAACACTAAGACCTCAGGCCTAAGACTCCCTCTGAATCTCAAAAACAAGTCAAAATTCGCCAAAAAACAACACCTGGTAAGAATAATGACACTAATGGCCACCGCACAAAAACACTCAACCTTTTGCTAGTGGAACCCAGTCTAAATGCCAAGTAGAAACCGTGTGACAAACACTTTGCTCTCGTGGACAAATAAATAAATAAATAAATAAATGAATAAATATCGCTGACGTTGACAAACTGTGGGAAATTCCGCACAAAAATCAATACCCGACTTTGCTAAATTTTACAAAGTTCGAGGATCACACAAGGAATCCTTCAATTAAAAATTGTTCAACAGTAAATCTACAATCAAAATGGTGATTTACTTTCCCAAACCCATCGGATCCGGCACTTGGGTAGTGCATTTGAACGCAATTTTGGCTCAGGGGGCGAGAAAATGCCGGGGGGTTGGATGTTGAAGCTTGGAATTGAACGGCGCATTAGTCAAATTGGCCAGGTATTTTCAAGTTGCTTCGCAATCAAAAACTCTCTACCGGTGAAATTCTGGGCTGGGTGCAGTAGGTTTTCGAAATTAATTCGTCACCAGAGCTACACATTTACACTTGTTTGTCACCAGGTTGACTTTCGCAGCGACACGAGGTTGTGACGAATCGATTCGATTTGTAGCAAATTTGTCACCCCTTAAACAAAACAACCGCACTCCAATGCATGAGCCTCTCTACATCTAAGCTCACATATATCAAAAGCTGCAACTTGTAATACGCTGACATAAAAAATCTGTTTTAACTACTTCATACCCACGCATGCTGGACGAGAGTGAAGCAGACACTGGCAGCCGACTAACTGATCACGCGGACATTCCATCGAAACAGCTGAAAGCGTCAGGGAACAGCTGAAAACAAAAACACAAAGCTGCAGTCAGATGTTGAGTCTATTCTAAGTTAAGTTCCGCTGAAATGTTACTTCATAAAAATAATGCTAAGTCTTGTTTCCACGGACTGTTTCGGACGCAAAATACCCAGTTATGAAATAAGATCGTCGTCGAAGGTACGAGCGTAAACAGCCGTGGTCGAATGTAAGCTGAATGTCTTCAGCTGAAAATGCACATTTAAACATTTTAAGTCTCTTTTATAGACAACTAATTCCTTAGATCCTAACTGCTTGGACAATGGGGTTCAAAAACCACGTTTTAACCTCTAAAATTAACACACCTACCTCCAAACAACCATCGATGGACGACAACACGTGAAAGAATGCCGACTTGAGTGATGCTGTCAGCTGTCGTCGAAAGACGGCGACAGAGGAGAGACTGGGGAAAAAGTGGGTACGTGTAATGTAACTAAACTTGTCACGATCCAGGACCATGTCACGCTTACTTATCTCCTATAATTTCCTTGTAGTTTCCTTGTAGATTTCAATGAAATCTACAAGGAAACTACAAGCAAATTATTTCAATGAAATCTACTACGTTTAAGTCTAAAAATTATCGAAGCGACTTTCCACTGCACAGCTTCGAGTCTTCGACAACTGGGAATGAAAATCTTCGGAAACTACGGAAATCCAGCAGAAATGTAAGGAAACTTTTGGACTCAAACTTTCTTTTACATTCTTCCCTTGTAGTACTGGCCTTGAAGAACACCTACTAGCTCTGCTAGCTGAAATATTAACCAACAAATACGTACCTTCTTTCTCATTCCCTTGCAATCAGTTAATTCTACTACGAAAATGACAAAGTACGACTAGGGTAAACGTGGCTCTCCGGGTGTCATGAAGCCATCGTCATCGTCATTATTATCTTGTCCGAGTCAGGAAGCCATAAAACAAGGTCTCTGCAAAGATTATCTCCCGGGAATTGTCTTTCTCGCCGGGATTTCCTTTACATCTATCTATCCGCTACGCCACTGGTAGCCAAAGATGAGGCGTTCTTGACGTTTCTAAGCTGCGTTGTAGGCGTATTGCGGAGAAGGAGACGAAGAGGCGAGAAACGCGAGGAAGAACACAAGCATCCCAAACTCACGATTCCAGGGATCGGCGATCAAATATTAATGATTTATGTACGCGTATCGAGTGAGACGTGACCACCTAAAGTGCGGGGTGTTGTGTTACACTATCTGAGCGCTCTAAAATGGCATTGTATAGAGTTTAAAATAACGAAGAATAAAGAAGCTCAGCAAAATAAAATGTTACTATTTTTAAATAAAATAAAACAAATATACCCGCCTTGCCTGGCTTCCGCTGTCCATTTGGCCTATTTCATCGTTTTGGGGGTTTCTGAGGTGTTTGTAGCGGCTTTCTATAAACTTCGTCCTTTATTTATTTTTATTTTTTTTAAAGTAACATTTTATTTTATTGCGCTTTTTTATCATTCGTCATTTTAAACTCCATACAATGCCTTTTAGAGCGCTCAAATTCTCAATGACCTAAGTGAAACACAACACTGCGGTCACGTCCCACTCGATAACCATATATAAAATATTTGATCGATTCTTCGAATCGTGAGTCTGGGACGCTTGTGGCAAGAAGGGAAAAAACAAGTTCCTCCTAACGAATTTTACGTCGTGCCCTTAAAACGATAGGTTTCTGATTTACTTTTGGCATTTACACTGTTAGAAATCGGATAATGAGTTGCTTGTTAAATAATTTGGCATGAAAGATTAAAAGTAATCTCAATCTCTAACTTTGTAAAATATTTCTGAGAGACCAAGTGAAAATAAAGCATGTAACGCTTGTTGTTGTTGTTGTTGTTGTTGTTGTTGTTGTTATTGTCGATATCGACGTTTTGATGCATCAAGCATTATTCTCAAGATGGACTTCGTTAATGTCAATCAGAGCATCAAAGTCGTTATTTTAGGTTATACCAACAAATTGTTCACTTGGCCAATAGAAATCCGCTTTGAGATATCCTTCCCAGTCTTTGACACTTATTTTGAGTTTGAAGTGCCTGAAATGTGCAAGAATGCTTACACTTTAAGTGTTGTTCATTGGAAGAAATATATCAAACACGAGAGACTGTGTTTTACCATATTTCGAAACACCGAAAAGAGAGTCAGTGCATAGCGGATAATTTTTGCTGGACTTTGAGGTGTTTAGAAATGTGGTAAAACACTGTCTCGCACGTTTCATGTAGGGTCTTAGTCGAAATTTGAGAAACGGAGAAAATGGAGAAATGAAATTGTCAAAATCTATACGTAATTAAGATCTGATAACATCCAAACACGCACCTTTACGAGTCTGATATCGTCAGGATCTAAAGCTAGTGATACTGCGCGGATATGTAAAACACAAAGGTCCTCTACAGTTACAGGTGTATATCGCATTTTATATAATAGCCCTTTTCACGGTTACCTTTGCTCATTTGCATTACAATAAAATCTAGCATGTATGTGAGGCAATTTCGGGCTATTTTGTAGTTTTAGCCGAAATTGCCTCGCATCCACGTTGGATTACATTGTAATGCAAATGAGAAAAATTAACCGTGAAAAGGGCTATTATCCTTTAACCATATGGTATTTTTCTCGGAATTATGGTCGGCGGGGGGGAGGGGTCTGACAGAGGTGGCACATGCTTTGGCTTAGGATGAGCTACTATGACCTACTATGGCTACTGAACTTTTCTATGGACACCGGAGATTGTGGTGCACTTTTGCCTTCAAATCGTTCTTAGTCGGAGAAATGAGTAAAAATATCAGACCAACAACTTAAATACAAAAAAGAAAAATACAGTTCTCCACCTGCTATAGGCTTTCTCTTTAAATCTGTCTTACCTGAAGTTGTTAGTACTATCAACAAACGGTTGCATAGAATTTTTGTATTGAATTTTTGTTTTTTTTTTTTTGGAACGTATGCTTCATATGCTTTTGTTTGTCTGTTTGTTTATTTCTTATCAACATTATTTCATTTCCAATCTCTTCTCCTTGCTGTGAGAGTCAGTCTCCGGTTATTACTTACTGTAGCTCAAGACTAAATCATTGATCCAAGTCTCATTGTCGAAGTCTACCAAAGATCGGCACTACTCATTGGTCCCTAGCGGCGATTTTGTCTTTTTCACCGGAATTTCAGCGGTTAGCTTCAGGATGGCCCTCGTAGCAGTTAGGCTAGACCATCCGCTTGGGCTGACCCCTCGTTTCTCCCTCCTCTTCTCAGGGAGGAACGAAGAGCCGCCTCGAGAGGGTGGCGGAAATGAACCAAAAACGAAACTTTGGTCTTCTTCTATTAGTTAGAACGTGTAGTCATTCAGTGTGGCTAGTTTCACTATTTGCTTTGGTTGACGTTTGGAGAAACCTGTTTATACCAATAGCCTAACCCAAGAGAAAATCAAGGTAATAAAGTTAATCCCCTGCCCAAACAATAAAATATAAATAAAAGGGAAGCGAAATGAAGAGCCAAATGAACCCAGAGCATACGAACGTCCGAACACAGCGCAATCGAATAAAAAGATGGAAACGACAGGCAAGGACGACAACAACGCCATGAACAACGTCGACTAAAAAACTACTTTATATTCAATTTACGAATCTCCTAAGCATGTAGAATCACTCTGTATATCACTGTCAGAGCTATCCCAAATGAATGACAGCGTCAAAATTCGAAAAATAAATTTTAAGAATTGGTCTTGGAAGTTCATGGTCTCTAGAATACGTAGAATGTGGTCCTTACACGTTGTTGCTTTGTGGAGAATAGGAAAGAAATGTGTCGAGAATTATTACGCACGTGCACAGCCATTATACTCACTGCCGTTGCCGTTGCAGTTGTTGTTTAAACTCTCTAAAACCGGATGAACGGCAGAGGAATGAAAAGTCAAACGAACACGGAGCAAACGAAAGGCCAGCCGAACAAAAAATACGGCTGAGAGTGCAGAAAACATCTGCGCTATTAAACTTCTTTTGAAAATCAAAAGGAGCAAGAGTACTTGTCGCCACATTTCCCGCCATTTCTTCTCACAATAGTCTAGACAAATCTACCCCAAACCCTGTCAATCCCGGTAGTTGATGCCCAATTCGCACTATGAGACTCGCCTCCAGGGAATCATGGTAGCTGTATTCATCAAAATAAATATCCAGTCCAAGATGATGAATAGAACTACTATGGTCACCTGCAGGCGCATCCCATCGAGGGGATTAGCCATTAGCTGCCTGGTTGTATTAGACCCTATGGTTATTCCAAGCATCAAATACAGTCGAACCTCGATTATCCGGACTCGTCGGGACCTCTGTAAATAGTCCGGATAATCGAGAGTCCGGATAATCGAAAACCTGAATATTAATGAGATAGATATGTGAACAAAAGGTATACAGCAAAGAAAACATCATTTTAATTGTGAAATCTACACAGNGTGGGGCTCAAGACAGTACAGCTACTGCACGAATGTAATTTTTTGAACATGAGATATTTCGTAAACATCAAGCTGTATAGCTATTCCTTATTTAGGCTCGGCTATAGTTTTATCTGGGAGTAATTCTGCTTTAGACTGCGTACCTACTCAATATTATAGGGTTACGTAGTTCATCTACTGAGCGTATTCAGCATAAGTCTTTGCACAAGCCACATTGGCAATTGGCAATTGGCAATTGGCTTTCCATTTTCGGCGCATTACCACCATTCTTTTTCTGTTGATGCTAGTTTACAGTTTCACGAAACAGTATAGGTTAACAACACAAACACTGTGCCCCTAGCATTAATAAGAACAAAAGAGGTGCAAATTAACAAGATCGAATCAAAATAGACGTTTTAAAGAGGTGCATGTCAACTGGCCTAAACATCGATGAGCAGAATGTCATCACTTCTGGACGTTACCATGGAAACGGTAAATGTCTGAAAACGCTATTTATGTTTTAAAACACCTCGTCACGAATTCGCTTTCAGTTTCTCAGACAAAAGACAGAAGTTAAATTGACTCCTGTAATTATTAATTTAATTATTAATTTAATTACCTCGCATCTACAGTCGAACCTCGATTATCCGGACTCGTCGGGACCTCTGTAAATAGTCCGGATAATCGAGAGTCCGGATAATCGAAAACCTGAATATTAATGAGATAGATATGTGAACAAAAGGTATACAGCAAAGAAAACATCATTTTAATTGTGAAATCTACACAGCCTGTATGTATTTGCAAATAA